CTGGGAGCTCCCAGTCCGACAGATTCTGCTAATGGATCCACTACAGCTGCTGGACTGGGGCGACGTAGCACACAGCGCTATTAGCGACAGGTCCCTCCCTAACTGCCTGTTCGTACAGGATATACAAACAGCTGCTTCCTGTTTCATGGGGACTTCGGGGCGTCAGCGTGCTCCTAATGTTTCTATTGATCGACTCCTTTCAGCTCCCAGTTTCTTTTTTTCTAATAGAATTAAAACGACAGAATAATTTTATGTTATTTGTTAAATACGCTCCAGAAACATCTTTGGTAAAAACAATAAGACAGAAGCATGCAGAGACTGTTGTTCAACATACAAAACATAATTTAATATAAATAAAATGTTGACAGATGGTACTATATGAGCACACACACCAGTCGTAGGTCCAAATGCTGCTAACGTTGGCAGGATGATTAAAGCCAGAACTGGAACTAAATGAAGATCTGGATCACTAAAAAGAGCCAGAGTTCACTATGTGGACCTTCTGAGGTCCCTGTTGTCAGTAACTTACAGAAACTAATACCCCTATTCCACCAAGGCAGTCTGAAAACTGGTTCCAGCACTAGAACCAAGACCAGCTCACAGCAGGGGCTGGGACGCCTCGTGGCCAGACAGCTATGTAGCCCAAGGTTGTTATTAAGGTGAACACTGAGCTAGCTACCTAGCTAGCTGTGGGTCAGCTAATGGTGCGTTCCATTTGAACTGGGAAAATGAAATTTCAACTTCGTTTTCCGACTTGGAACGTGGTCAGTTTGGTTGTGATGTCATTCCCAACCTCTGAGGTAAATGGAACGCAGCTAACATTACCCAGCTAGCAAAGCTAATTTCTGTAAGAAAGTACTACCTGTGCTAGCTTGGGTAATGTTAGCTGACCAACTAGTTAGTGCAACCTCCACTGTAAAACCAGATAAGTTCATTTAAGTAAACCAAGTAGCTTTAGTGAAATGACCTAATTTTATCATTTTACTGTTTCAAAATTGAGTTTGTGATACTTAAATTGTTGAAAAGAGTTTGAATAACTTTATCGCATTACAGTGTTGGTAACAATAGCTAACAATAGCAAACAATAGCTAACATTGGAAACATACACTGATAAAATGTAAACCGGTTCTTCGAAGGTTCTCAAGTTGAACCAACTCTGAACCAGAACTAGCACCAGACCGGAACCAGCTCTCGGTTCGCTTGCCATCAGCCTGAACTGATCAGACCAGTCTGGTCCTGGTCCTCCTCCACCAGTTCATCAGAGTCTCTCACACTCGAACTCAGGGTCGGTCTCAGAGGGGCGGGGCATGTCAATGTAGAACACCTCTTTGTTGATGGGCGGCGGCGTGCAGGGCGGGCTTCCCATCCCAGAGTCCGGGCTAGGGACCGGGTTAGGCTGGTTCCCGGGCGAGTACTTCTTCTCTGTCCAGTTCAGAGGAACTTTGAGTCTGGCTCCGCCTCCTGCAGCGGGTCGGCCATGGGCGTCGGCTTTCGGCTTGAAGCGCTTCAGCTTGACGGTGTCTTTGGCGTCACGGGTGCACGGCAGCAGGATGGCCACGTCTTTGCGGAACTTGGAGCTGAGTCCGAAGTAGATGAGGGGGTTGTAGAAGCTGGCGGACTTGGCGAAGAGGCGGGTGAAGATGCTGGTGAGGTTGGGCACGTGAAAGCCAAAGGCGGACCACATGGACACTACCGCGTACGGGGACCACGCCAGGATGAAGGCCGTACAGATCACTATGGAAACCTGCAGGAGATGATTGATTATTGAACCAATACAAAGCTCAAACCTTCTGATTGTCACACAGAGAGGCATCGTTAAAACCATCACCAAACTAAAGAAAACATCAGAAAACTTACGTGTTTTTACACATATTGTATTTTTAACTTTTCAACTTCTGAATGAATGAAAATTAAAAGCTAGCTAGCTGACTAGTTAGCTGTTGGACAGCCACGGAGCACGGCCGTAGTGGAAGTTTTCTCATGTAGAGCTTGACGTCTGCTTCAGTACACTTTGTATATTAATCGTATTTGATTATCCGGCTGTTTTTCATCAAGGCGTTTTTGAAGCGATAAGCGATGTGTCTCTGTGTCATCGCTAAAACCAGAAACCCACAGTGTGTCCATAGAGCTGGATATTACAGTGTGTGGCAATATCTTCATAAACACATATTCTCTAAAATAACTCTAAACTAAATTCGACCTCGTCCTGCATCAGAAAACAACCAGAGAGCTGATAGAACAATGAGAAGACAACAATGGATCTGTCAGAAAAGAAGAATATTAAATCGGATTCTTAAAGATGACCAAATTATTGTTGTTGTTCAGCATAATATGAAATATACATAGAGCATGCTCAGTAGAGCAGGAAGTGGCTGTACCCAGTTCTCTTTATACAACCTGTTAGCGCTAGCACTAGCAGCTAATGAGGAGACCCACAATGGTGACGTCTCTTTCGATCTTCCTCTGGCGGTCGGTCAGGTCTCCCTCAGAGGACAGAGCGTTGCCTCTCTTCACCGTGTTGATGATGGAGATGTAGCAGAAGAGCATGATGAGCACCGGGATAAAGAAGCAGGAGATGAAGATGGAGATGATGTAGGACCTGTAGACACTCGAGTACGTCGCTTTGGCCCAGTCGATCTCACAGGTTCCGTACCCTCGATCTGCAGAGTGAGGGGGCAGAGGTCAGCTGTCAGGGGTCAATGAAAGCAGAGGTTGAAACAGAATCTTATTTTGAAGGGGTTCCTGCCTTTGTAGCTCCCCCAGCCGAGCAGTGGCGCTCCGGACCAGAATCCAGCTGTGATCCAGATGAGCAGCAGACAGACGTTAACACTGGTCCTGCTGATGTGCCGAGCTGAAACACAACATTCATCCATTCATGGTTCTGGGTTTAAAGTGTGCAGGCTCAGTCACAGCGCCCTCTGCTGTTGGCTGGTTAGCAGTGCAGCTAACTTCCTATCAGGTGACTCTACATCTCTAGTACAAAAAACAATCAGGAGCCTCTGCAGTAAACAGGAAGGTGTGACCTCTGACCTCTGCTCGGGTGACATCCTTTGATGTAGCGGGTGATGCTGATCACTGTCAGCGTGTTGATGCTGCTCAAACCGAACACCAGCGTGAAGAAACCGTCCACCTGCAGGACACAAACAGGACAGGTGACAGGTGTGTCCCATCCATCATAACAGAGAGTCCCCTCTGAGGGGTCTCAGGCGTACCTGGCAGGTCCAGATGGAGGAGATGAGGAAGCCGCTGTCCTGGAAGACGTTAAAGATCTCAAGGATCCCTCTGGAGTATCCAAACACGGAGATGCTGGCGTCAGAGATGGCGAGGTTAAAGGTCAGGTAGTCTGTGGGCTGCAGGGTGGCTCTCTGTCTGTACAGCACGAAGAGGACGATGCTGTTTCCAAACCAGGACAGCCAACCTGAACGCACCACAGAGACAAAGTGTTTACAACACAACAAACAAACAAAGAAACACACACACACAAACAAACAAACAAACAAACAAACAAAACAAACACACACAAACAAACACACAAACCAACAAACAAACACACACACACAAACAAACACACAAACACACACACACACACACAAACAAACACAAACAAAC